CCTCATTATTGATAAGGAATCTCTTCAATATAAATATTAGTTGTTATTGTTATTATTGTACTCATTGTTCATATAAAAATATATTATTGACAAATTGGGAATGGTTTTAGAGGAAAAAAATCACCAAAATAGTGGATATCATGAAATTTTAGAGTTGAGATCATGTAGTTGAGACTAGAACCCAGATTTTTTCAGTATAATAATTTTGAGAACTCTAAACCCAGAGATGGGTTTCTAGGGGAGTTCTCAGGCTCTGGGCCTGGTGTTTGAAAGTTGGTGAGATTCAAGTCATTCTGGCACTTTTCCAAGGGCTCTTTGAGGAGGCAGGAGCATGGACCACATGAATTCTAAGATTTCTTTATTCTTTAATACTTTAAAGCTCAGTTAAGTAGCCACTAAAGGTGATATGAGAGCTGCCTTCAAATATATGAAAAGGCAAGATTGTGAAGAAAGGGGATGATTAATTGAAGGTGAACTTAATGAGATGTTAAAAGTAATGGAATGAAAAGCTTTGTGCACACTCTAAAGAGGCTAGGATTTCCTCTGGTTACATCCGTGTAATTAGGCAAAAATTCTCCAGTGCTAAAAAGTTGCCGAAGTACTTATCAACTAACCCATTCTTGATTGACTTAACCTTTATTTTATGTTAGAAGCAAGCAACTGCTTATAATGGTATCATGTTAAAGTTCATTGATTTTTGTTTGTTTGAATTATGATTTAGATAGCCCTAATTTCTAGATGTACTGTGGTGTGGTGGATGGAGTACAGGAGATGGAGTCAGGAAGATTTGAATTCAAATCCAGCCTCAGACACTTACTAGCTGTGTGACCCTGGACAAGTCACTTAACCTCTGTTTGCCTCAGTTTCCTCATCTGTAAAATAGGGATAATAATAGCACCTGCCACCCAGGGTTGTTTTGAGGACCAAATAAGATAACATTTATGAAGTACTTAGCACAGTGCCTGGCACAGGATAATTGCTGTATAAACATTAGCTATTATTTTTTATGTATGTATATATATATATACACGTGTATATGAATAAATTAAAAGGCATTTATTAATCACTTGTTTCATGTCAAGCATTGTGCTGACTAGGGTTGGGCACACAAATATAAAAGCAAAGATTTTCCTTGCTCTCAAGTTTATATTCTAATAGAGGGAGATAATACATGAAAACAAATAGTAATGGGGATGTTTTATGGTTCAGAAAGTTACAGGTATGATGAGTGGAACCATAGGGGTAGGGATGTAGATTGGCATACTCTCTCCAGTACCAATGGCAATATTGATTAGGTTACAGTTTCAGAACCAGAAAGCAATGGAGTGGGGCAGAGCAGAGAGTATGTCCACAGTCATCAAGGTGGATAGTTAGAAGATGCACAAGGAGTAAAGTGAGGCATGATTGGAACACCTAACCTGATATAGTGAACAAAATGAGTCACTTCAGGAATCAGGAAGGAGTTCCAGAGATGAAAGGGTTAAGTCATCCAGGGTATGGTCTCTGGTCTCCTGGAAAGGTACCTGACAAGGAGATGATTGGGGCTTGTGTTCAGGGCCATTGTGTACGTCTATACACTAACCCAACCTCCCAACTCTTTTGCTATGTCCATATACATGTATATACATATATGTGTATCTGTATGTATATATGTGTGTATTGTATGTATGTATATATACATACAGATACACATATACAAATATATGGAGAGAGAGAGAATATCTGGCAACAAGGAATATCAAAATATAATAATATCTATATTTACCTATCTATTTACATATGTATATATCTCAAACATATCTATAGGCATAGATATATTTAGGGTTAATTCATATTCCAGTGCCTTGTCCCATTTTGGATTGAAGGGATACAGTTTGTCTTGAATGGTTTATGAGGAAGAATGGCATTAAATCTAGCTTAATCCCCAGAGCATTTATTAAGTGCTTATTATATGGAAGACATCATGAAAGGTGCTGCAGATGTCCAACTTTAAGGATCTTGCATTCTACTGAAGGATACAACATGTAAACCAATAAGTAAAAACATGAGGAGGAAGACCAAGAAAGTCTTTCCACAGAAGTATCATATGAATTGAACCTTGAAGGAAGCTGAGGATTCTGAAAGGCACAGATGAAGGAATGTATTCCCTGTGCAAATGTGCAAAGGTGGGAAACTGAAGACTGAATTTGGAGATTAACAATTAAGCTATTGGTTAGCCTGATGGAAACCCAGTCAGTTAATTCTTGAATCCAAATCAAAAGGTGTAGGAAGTAAAAGACTCATATTTGTAGAATGAAGTGAGCTTTATTTTAAGGATATATAGTCACAGATGTCAACAAGCTGAATTGTTGGTGGTTAGTACAGTTCACTACAGGTCCTGAACCAGTAACCTAAATGGCCATGATTCACCCTGGACTCCAAATTCTTGATTACTAGAGAACTTGTAGGCACCATCAATAAACAACCAAGTATGCACTGTGGCATTTAGCACCATTGCCCTAATTACTGACACATACTGTGTCAGAAGTGACACTAGAACGCAGGTCTTCCTGACTCCAAGGCCAGCTTCTATCCACTATACCACACTACCACCACCACCACCACCACCACCACCACCACCACCTCCTCCTCCTCCTCCTCCTCCTCCTCCTCCTCCTCCTCCTCCTCCTCCTCCTCCTTCTTCTTCTTCTTCTTCTTCTTCTTCTTCTTCTTCTTCTTCTTCTTCTTCTTCATCATCTCCTCCTCCTCCTCCTCCTCCTCCTCTTCCTTTTCCTAATAGTAAATAATATATCTAAATAAGTTGTGGTATGTGAATGTGATGGGTTACTAGAATGCTGTAAGAAATGAGAAAATAGATGACTTCAAAGAGATAAAGAAAGACATATGAACTGATAAACAATGAAGTGAGCAGAACTAGAAAGGCAATGTATTCTTTAATATCAATATTGTAAAAATGGACAATTTTGAGGACCTTTATAAATTGATGAAGAATAAAATGAGCAAAATGAGGAAAAGAATTTTTATAACAATGTTGTAAAGACAAACAACTTTGAAAGTTGTAAGAATTCTGATCAATACATGATCTTCCATGATTCCAGCAGACCAATGATGAAATGTGCTATTCATCTCCTGATAGAAAGGTGATAAATTTTGGGTGCAAATTGAGACATATGTATATACATATATATATATTTTATATATATTATATATATATATTTGTATACAACCAACAAGGGAATATGTTTTACTTAATTATGCATTTGTGATAGAATGAATTTGTCTATCCTTTCTATTTTTTAATGTGATAGAATGTGGACAGAAGAAAAAATGGATTTCTGTTACTTAAAAAAAATTAAAAATAGAGAACTTGGGGGATGTTACACCTGTAAATGTTGATTGTTTTACTTTGTTATAGGACACCTGTCATGGAGTTGTAGTGTTCTGTAAATGTAATGCAAAAACAAAACACATTAATAAAATCTTTCTCCCCCCCCAAAAAAAAAGATAATGACAGTCTTAGTTCAATTTCTTGTTTGAACTCTCCAGGATATTTTCTAGTTTGTATTTGCAATATAGAATTTGGCATCCATTACTTCATAGAAGATATTAAATATGATGATAGTAATGATGATTTCATTTTTTTCACAGTGGTAGTAGTAATAGTAACAATAGCCAACATTTACATAGTGCTTTAAGGTTTGCAAAGTACTCTACAAATACTGTCTCATTTCATCCTCACAACAATGCTAGATAGATGTTATTATTCTTCTCATTTCATAGATGAGGAAACTGAGGCAGACAGAAGTTAAGTGGATTGTCCAGGACCATACAGCTAGTACATTAGGCCAAATTTGAACTCAGATCATCCTGACTCTACATGTAGTGTTCTATCCATTGTACTACTTGCCTTACTACTACTACTACCACTATTGCTACTACTACTACTATTCATATCAGTTCACAGTCAGCAAGTCATTTTGACTTAATAACAGAAAGTCAGTCTAGTAAATCAATCAAACTAATTCTCAGAATTTTCAGTTTTAACATTGCCTATATAGCTATCATTAAGTCTCTCTTACTCTCTCTAAGTTAGAACATATGCTATGTTCTCCAAATTGAAATTTGGCAACAATAAATTAATAAGAAAAAATTGTGACTTCATTTCTGCCAGAAGTGATGTATATAAGGGTTGGGCTGCTGTTGTTTTGAGCAGAACTATAATTTAATTTGTCTGAGGGAATTCCCAATGTAGATCAGGCCATTCAACTGTAACTTTGAGTGGTAGAGAGTTGTTCAAGGATATTTGAGAGGTTGAATGACTTGCTCATGGTCATACATCCAATATATGTCAGAGAAAGGACTTAAACCTAGGTCTTTCTGACTCTAAGACCTTCACTCTATGCTCTATACCATTATGCCTCCAAAAAAAAAAAGGTGTTAGGGTATCATAAATGTCATTTCATAAAATGGGAAGGGAAGTGCCTCGGAGGTAAAACGTTAGGGACCATCATCTGGCAGGTTACATCTTACAGGACATGAAATACTTCTTTACTAACTTGAAAAATTATTTTACCCCAAATTCACTCCCATAGAGTGTCTTTTACATCTTAAATATGATTAGGTCCCATATTAAGGTAATACAAAATTCTTCTGAAATTACCATTCTTTTTCGTGGTCCCCCTGGTCCCTTCCCTTGAATTTGGGTGGGTATTAACAATGTTATCTTTGTCTTGATGAGTGCAATACTTCATTGTTTCCTGCTTTAGATGTATGTAATTACCTCTCTTATGAATATATTCAGAAATGCTTGTTGCTCTTTCTTGAAGCATCAATATTTTTTTAAAAAATTATTCATCTTGACAGAGCATCAGCTTCATGTTTTCCAATATCAATGTATGAGGTTCAGGGCTCTTATATTCTCCCAGTAAATGTGTTTCTGTAACCCCACAGGCTGAAAAAATTCATTCTAGACTTTTTTTTATTATATGATTTTCTTTCAGAAGGAGAACTGAATTCTTTGAACTTGTCAGTAAAGGGGATTATAACTGGAATGTCAAAACCCAGCGTGATATATTTCGGTAAGAAAATGTTATTGTTCATTTGTTACATTATTATTTAGAATCATACCCTGTGTTTCTAAAAATGTCACCTAGAAGCATAAGAATAATTTCATACAAGCAGGGTTTATATTTAAAATGTGCACAGGTTCTGGTCACTCAAATTAGAATAAAGATAATAATGCTCACACTAAAAATTTAACAATTGACTCTCATGAGTCATTTTGAGCTGGCTCCTGTACATGCATATAACACCTCTCCTGGCATTTGACTCTCTGATCATCTAAGAGTGATTTATTTTATTTATTTTAGACTTAAATACTAAAACTCAAATATACAATAGAGAAAAGAAAGAGAAACATAAGCTTAAATATTGAAACTTATATACAAAATAAGGGGAAAAGCATGTCATGTGCACAGCAGAATATAAGAGAGGATTCAAAACATATAGCAATAAAATTCCATTTCAAGAAAGCCTATATAATAAATATTATGCATTGTGTTGAGAGCTGTCCATCTTTGCTTCCTTGTAAGTTTTCTTTTGTGACTTCATTTCTGCTGTGCGCTTTTTATTTTGTTCTTTTTTCCCCCTTCCTCCCCCGCCCAGGTTACAATTAAGCATAGATATATTCATATATAGATATATACATATACATACATACATACATAGACAGAAACTTTCCCTAACAAATTCTACTCCTGATATTTGTTTTTATGTTTGTGCATGTCTCATTTCCTATCCAGAGTGATATTGTCATTAAGCATGGTTAAGTGGAAAGACAGCTGGATCTGGAGTCATAGGATCTGTTACTTACTATCTGTGTGTCCTTGGGCAAGTCACTTACCCCTTACAGACCCATTTGTAAACTGAGGGGCTTGGATTAAATGAGGGAGAGAAGTAGCATGGTATAATTGATACAAGGCCAGCCTTGGAATCAGCATGACTTTGACTCAAGTCACATACTACCTATGTGACCAAGGACAAGTCACTCTCCCAGAGCTCCCAAACAGCTCTCTAAGACTCTAATTTATAGATGTGATATGATGGACAGACTGCTTGGCTATGGAGTTGAAGGAGCTTGGTTCGAATTCTGCTGTTACTGCTGCTGTTGCTTCTGCTTACTATCCATGCAACCTTGGGAAATTCACTCAATCTCCCTGAGATAGATAAAGCAATGTATTAAGTGCTTACCATATGGTAAGCACTAAAAACACAAATAAAAGCCAACAAAAAATTTTAAAAGACAGCCTTTGTCCTTAGGAAGCTTAATTCTAATGGGGAAGGCGGAAGATAAAAGGGAGCTAGACAGGGTGGGTAGAGAAGAGAGTGGAGAGGTATGGGAGTAGAAGAGTCCAGAGAGTCAGGAATAGAGCAGGGTGAGAAATGATCGTGGGTGGCCTGGGCAGTTCCTTAAATGGTGGTCCCGGGCAGGAATGCACTCGTTGGAGGAGGAGACCATGAGGCAGAGGCATCCCCAGAGTGAGAAGGCTACAAGAAGTCTGCTTCAGAAAGTCCAAGCCATATAGTGGTTAAACCTAACAATTCTAATAACAAAAAACAAATTCTTCAAACAGCCAGAAGATTGTACCTCAAATACAAAGGAAAGAAAATTTGATTAACACAAGACGATTTTGGTGGAGGGAATGGACTGTTTTCATTATATCCGTGTCCTATGCAGCAATGTTCAGTAGTTCCCTCTGTCCCACACAGTAAAGTCCCCAAAGTTCCTTTCCAATATATCCTCCCATTGCCCTGCAAGGTGAACCCCACCCTCTCCTGCCCCAGTCAAAATATTCTAATCACTGTCCCCAAGGCATCTTGTGTGTTACTTCCTCTCTACCTTTCCTCATACGATTCTCTTATCTGGAATCCAGTTATCCTCTTTCTCTGATCATTTGAAACCTATGATAGAAAATAGAATTGATTTTTATTAGGCTAGGCTTAGTGATCATGAGCTCTTGTCCGTAAGGTAGCATAGTTTAATCAGAATGAGAAATCTGGTCAAGAGAGTTTTTGGGCAATGTTCTGTAAGAAATCTAAGGATCCTGGGATTATATACTCAGACTAAAAAGGACCTCAGAGGTTATCTGATCAAATGAGATAATATTTATAAAGCACTTAGCACAGTACTTGGAACCAAGTGCTATATCACGGCTTACTCCTTCCCCATCATCTCGTCCAAGCAACTCACTTTACAGGTGGGGAAACTGAGACCAAAAGAGGATAAGTGACTTGCCCAAGGTCACACAGATAGTAAGTAGAAAGTCCTTTGACTTCAGACCCAGCTGTCTTTCCCCTGGACCATGCTCAATGATAATATCGCTCTTAACGTGACAAGAGGGTTAAAGGCCAGGAGAAGTATTACAGCGGTATACTCAAACTGGCTTGTGACTTAAATTTTTAGTATGAGCTGTTACACCTCAGAAATCAGCAAAGTATAAATCAGTATTTGATTTATTGTTTTGTAGATTTAAAAATCAATAGAGAAAATGTTAATAATGCATTTTCAACTGTAGAGGATCCCTATATTTCTTTTGGAAGGGCCGATTGTTAAACATTTACCAGCACACCCCTGGGTATGTTACCTAAGCCCATCTTAAAGGAAGGGTGAGACATCAAAAGGCTGAGATGAAGGGGGTAAATTATTCTAGACACTGGAGCAATGGAGGCTAGACAGGACAAAAATTGGGACAGAGAATAACCTAGCATGGCTAAAACATAGAATATGTGAATGAGTGAATAGTATGATATAAGACTGAAAAAGTGAGTAGTAGTCAGGTTGAGGAGATCCAAATATCTGCATCAGGAGTTTATACTTTGATCAGCAGGCACTGGGGAGCCACTGAAAGTTTTTTGAAAAGAAGAATGGCATTTTTGAGTGGTCCATTAGGAAGTTTTTTATAGATGAATATTTTTCCTCTTCCTAATGCTTAGAAAATATGGTCATAACCAAGTCATAAACTATACTGAAATAATGAGACTCTTATTGTAAATCTTAGCTTTACATAGCAGATGAGGAAAAGGGGAGAGGCTCTTTATGTGCTTTTTTTTTTAGCTGCCTCTTCAGTACGTTGTTCGTTTTTGTTTTTGTTTTTTTGTTTTTTTTTTCCCGGAGTCCCATCATCCTATAATAAGCCAGCAAATAGGTTCATCAGTTATAAATGCAGTAGTGCATGCCTGTCTTTTGTGTTTATTGTAAAACAAAAAAAAAGCCATAATATTTTTTAACTCATAAATTATTTTAAAAAAATAAAATAAACTTTGGTTTCTGCAGTTGTGGGGGAAGTAGTCTTTAGCCCGTCTTGAGCAGCTGCAGGCAAAACAAAATGGCCACCCCTCGATGTGTGATAGCTTTGTCTGCCTGGGTTGGCATGAGGGAGGTACTGCAGAATATGGAAGACAGTAAACGGTGCTGCCTCTCGTTGAGAAAAAAGGAGCGAAGTGGCCTCTTTTTTCTTTTCCTTTTTCTTTTACTTATTTATGTATCTGGGAAGGGTGTATTTAGAAATGCAACAGAAGATTATTCAGCCTGTTTTGTTTGGCTCTGTTTTTCAGATCAATGCTAATGACAGCCTGTGACCTTGGAGCTGTGACCAAACCGTGGGAGATCTCCAGACAGGCAAGTCATGATTAATGGCCAAGCCGAGCAGAGGAGGCATTGGTAGGACAATATTCCCAGAGCCCTGACTTACAAGGGACCAAAACAGCAGTCAATTTACATCAGTTTTAACATAGTGCACATAAAAAAAAAATAGCAGGAGATTTCTGCAAGGCAGAGTTTGCTACATAATCTTTTTCTTAGCTTAGTACTGTTGAACAATATTTAGGCAACACAAGAGATTTTTATGTAATGAATTAAAATTGCATTTTGACTTTAAAAGACCTTTACAAATACCCTGAAACTGACAGATATTTTTATATCATATCACATATTATATTATATACATAATATAATATTGTAAATTATATAATAAAATCCTAAAATTCCCCAATTTTATTTAATATCTAAAATGTATAGTAAGGGAGCCATGCCAATTTTTTTCACTTAAGAAAGACTTAGAGATCCTGGGCTCTTATGTATAAAGTATCCTAACCTAATCAGAAAAACAAATCAGGAATTACCCTATCATGTGCCAGGCACATGTTAGCTTTATAGTAAAAATTTTTTTAAATTTTTGTTCAGAGATTTAGTTATATCTTAATCTTAAGATTCTTGACTAGTTCATCTTCTACAGCAATTAATAGTTCTTTAATATTCAATAACTCCTATGGGCTGAATGTCATTCAAAAATAATCCTTGGTCCAGTATCCTCTCATCTACATTTGAAAGCAGTAAGACACTTTAAGGTATGATGTATTTTAAAAGAAATTTTTAAAAATGCAAATATGGCTTTTTGAACAACTTATGCTTATCTTACCATTTTTGTGTTTCTCCCTTAATTTTAGTTTGACATATTTGAGGTGGAGTAAGTAGGGCGTAACTTGGCATGGTAGAGAGATGGCTATCCTTGGATTCTGGAAGAGCTGATTTCAAGTCTTGTCTCTGAAATACTTGTTATAGGACTGGGGTCAAGTCACATGATTTGTCAGCACCCCCAGCAGCTCAAGACTATATACTAGAGAGAATTATTGATGGTATTAGGGAGAGGAGTTTCCAAACTGAGAGTCTATCACACTCATAATAATAACTAAATTTTATCTAGCACTTAAGGTTTGCAAAGCACTATATGCACACTGGTTATTGTCCTTCATGCTCAAAGAGGACCAAATGTCAGGGCCAACGTACAGCATGTCCAGCTGTGGCTGAGCCAAATAATATGAGCTCGGAAGGCTCTACCACAGGTCAGGCACAACTAGTCCATATGAACATTTGGAGTAGAGATATCTCTAAATTTGTGCATCTCACTTTTTTTTTGAGCTACTGCAATTCTGCCTTGCTCATAGAGAATATAGTGCTTTCTTTGATGCAGGCACACCATGCTGGGCAGTCCTGTGCCAGTGTTTCCATGTCTCACAATCAGTTCCACATTTCTTCAGAGAGACCTTGAGAGTGTCCTTGTATCACTTCTTCTGACCTCCCTGTGACCTGCCTTGTGTGAGTTCTTCATAAAATAGTCTTTTAGGCAAACATAGGTTTGGCATTTAAACAATATAGCCAGCCCATCGGACTTATACATACATATGTGTGATATATATGTATTTGCAGTGTCATTTAATCCTCATTACAACCCTGTGAGCAAGGTAGATTTTCTTGTCCCCATTTTGCAGATGATGAAATAGGCTGAGAATTAGGTCTGACAAAAAAAAAAGTCAATTGATATGCAAAGATCTCAAGGAAATGAAATTCTTAGTTCCATCTTCCTTTTACCCTTTCCCAGGTAGCTAAGGATTCTTGTTTGAAGCAGAGAGGTGTATAGATTGGTAGTGTAGAGGGAGAAGGCTATTCCTGGCACATGACAGCACTGGAAATGATTCAGCTTCTGGGATTCAGCTTCAGTCTGGCAAAAGGGACAGAGAGTAACTTTCCTCGAATAAAACAAAGAGAAAAGGTAGGAGAGGAGGGTGAAATACAGGGTATAGCAGAGGCAAAAGCAGTCTAACAGCAGTACAAGAGGGAATCTGGTGCTAAAGAATAGTAACAATGAGAAAACAGAGAGTAGTTCACACTTTGGCAATGCCAATCTTAAAGTATACTTTTGGAACAATAAAATGAATGATGAATTTAGAAAATATCTAAACACAAACCCATACAGAATTAATGAAACACAGGACTCATCACTCTAAGGCAGCTATAGAAAACTTAACATTTCCTCATCACAAAAAGGAAGAAAGGAATTGATAAGTGATCTCAGATAACATAATAAACAAGTTGAAAACTTATAGAAATACTTCTGAAAGATACTACTTTATGGGGGGGATAGTAAAGGTTGACAATATGTATAGAATACTGGATTTATCAAAAGTAACTTGTCTTGGTTTCCCTCTGGAAGGGGCTTATGAAAAGGCTGAGATCCAAGGGTGGAATCTAGTGGTCCACCATCGCCAATATTAGCAACATCCACATAACTGAATCAACAAAGAAGCATTGAAGAAGTGGTCTATTAATACAGATTTGTTTATATAAATAGGGGAATTTATGATAGTAGCACAGGATCAGTTCATCGCTACCAGAAATTGCAAAACGTTCATTTTTAAGGAGGCCAGACATATAGACCAAAACAGATGTTTCAAAGAAATGGTAGAAAATTTGCATGCTACAAATACAAACCAAAAATATTCCTGAGAATTTAACAAAGTAGTAAGTACTGGAACCAGAGGATTGCCATAGACAAACTTTTGCCCACAATCACCTAGATATTACATTGGACCTCAAAAATTTAAGAATAACATTTTAATGAATGTTATTATATTGAATAACCATAATCTCAAGACTTTATATAATGAAAAGTTCCTAAAACATAGAGAACTAGCAGAATGAATCAAAACCATGCATAAAGAGAACAGAGTATACATGATTCCTTTTGTTCTCTCTGCAAAGATGCTTTCATTGAGTATACAAAAGATGAGCTTATATCACAATGCTATTTTTTAGTTACAAAAGGCAATTATTTTATCCACCCATGAAATAGTCTGCCAAACATCAAATATTAAGGAATAATAGTAGTATGGTGTCCATGTCCATCAGCCATTTTTATCTTAACTCTGTTGAGTCTAAGATGAAAAGAATGAGAACAATAATAATAAATAGGGGATAATAGTAATAACAATAATTTTTAGGAAACCTGAAACACTGGTGAGTTGTACTATAATCAGGGGTCTATTATCTCATTGGCCAATGTGTTTCATATGTTCCTAAGAGTCAGAGATAGAGATAGAGGGGTACAGGCTGGCCCTAATCAAAACAATCTTTGATGATAGACCATGGAGTGAGGGAGTGGTTCTTCTTTTTGTTCTAGTACTACAACAAGGCAAGAGACTGGAACCAATCAGACATAACAATATCCTTTCTAAAGCTGGAAGTGCTTCAGTGCAGATGATGCTTTCCACTAAAGCAGACAAACACACAAGTGCACATGAAATTGACTAACAAATATGAACGTTTTCATTGTGTGTCAGTGCTGTTCCATAACAAAACTGGAAAATGATCTTTTTGTCAATGGTACCTTTAGCAATGTACTACTGAACTGATGCAAGTCAGTCATAAGAAATAATCTCTTTCCCAAACCTAGAATGAATAAAATAAGAGCTGTGATTGAGGAGATTTTTTAATCTGAAGAGGGAAAAATTGAAGAATATGAAATGAGTTGGAAAATCTTTATGTAATGCAAATTCTAGAAATCTACCTAATAACAAAACAAATGGCATTGAAGTCTCAAATTATTTTGAAGAGTGGATGGATACACTTAGACTGGAATACCAAAAAGTCCCTCTTAAAAAAAAAAGTTTGGCACGATTCTAACAAGCAGAACAGCTGTACCAAAGCAGAGAAAGTTTTAAAAGTTCAAATTTCCTCTCACCATCCTCCCACAATATCGGACAGAAAGTACAAAAATGTTTCATTACCCATGTGCAATAGTGTATGCAGGAGCTGTTTCTCTGGTAAGAACCATAAAAGGAAAGGAGCAGCTACCAAGAAATACTCATAAAGACGGGTGTCAAACATCACCATGATAGAAACAACTTGACCAAAGAGGCTTAAGAACTATGGAAAGACATTTTAAGATTACGTTGATAGCTAACTTTCGTGCACGATAAAATAATTTTAATTATAGGCCACCCAATTAAAGAGAAACATACAGAATGGGCTCTGGAAAACAAAAGCATATCAGAAATTTAGATTCTCTTAATTAGCCATTGAAAGCAAAAGTCAAAAAGTTAAGGAGATACAACGAATCAAAGCAGTGCAAAGAACAATATAAACAAGTAAACACAATTTTAAAAAACAACATTTACTACAGAGACAAGGAGCAAAAAAAAATCAAGAAGAAAAAAAAATTGAAAACCAACGTTATAAGCAGGGAATTCACAATGTTTTGTTTTGTTTTGTTTGTCATTCATCCTTCAGCACCATATAATATGGTTACAAAAAGCCTATAAGAAATCTAATATAACAACAATGCAAGTTGGATCAGAAATGAAACTTTGAATCAGCTTTGATATTCACATCACATCAGTACCCTCTGCCCACTGATTGGATCCTCTGACTTGATGACAGAGTCATGGGCCTCCATTTAAGGAGGGGGCTCAGCACAGTCTTCTCCCCATTATGAACCAGTTATGCTGCTTTTGGACTTCTCCATCCTATTTCCAGTGCTGGGCACCTTCCTCTGTTTCCATCCATCCCTACTTTTCCTTCCTTCCCAACAAAGATTCCTTTGTTGTTGTCCCCCATTAGATTATAAGATCCTTGTGGGCCGGAATTGTCTTTCTTTTCTTTTCTTTTTTCATATTTATATTCCCAGTGTCTGGCACATAGTAGGCATTTACTAAATGTTTATTTACTTACTGAAACAGAAGACTTATGCAGTGTTAATATAACAAATGACAGAACAGCTACATCAAGGAAAGTCACTGAAACTCTAGCTTTTCAGCAGAACTGGAATGTGATAGAACTAGATA